TAGGTCTCTTCAACCTATCCTACTCTATCTACTATACTAGGTCCCTTCAACCTATCCTACTCTATCTACTAGGTCTCTTCAGTATTAAACACTGCTCTTCGAAGAAGGCAGGCAGGCGTGTTCACAGAAGGAAAGACAAACAGCACATGTGCTTAGACTACATTTCTCATACTGTTCCAATACAGCTTCTCAAATCCACTAAAATCAGCTGTAATGTTTTCACCATCATCATCATTGTGGCAAACTGCAGAAAGGGCAACCATTTCCCTCTCTACAAACATGCAATGTGACTTGCTTTTCCCATCAAGAAGTAAGGATGGGGAACTGGAGAGATGGCTCAATGATTAAAGAGCACTGGCTGATCTTCCACAGGACCTAGGTTCAAGTCCCAGCACCCACATGGCAGCTCACAAATGTCTGTAACTCCAGCTGCAGGGGGTCTGACACCTTCACACAGATATACATGCAGGCAAAACACCAATGCACATAAAATAATAAAAAAAAATTAAGAAGTAAGGATGGACTAAGGGCATAGCTCAGTGGAGCATCTGCCTACCATGACTGAGGTCTTTGGGTTTGATCCATAGTACCACCAAGTTAAGAAAGGTTTCTAGCCTTGAATCTAAATCTGACCAGGGTTTTACCTAACCTGACCAGAAAATGGCAAACTCAATAAGGTCCTTGGTGTTGAGTTTACTAGCCTCGGGTTCTGGACAGTTGAGTGAGCCTACAATATCCCTTTGTAATTATCCATTAATTAAATGAGACTAGAGAGCCAAGCATGGAGAAATATATCTGTATCCAAACAAGGTAGACAAACTAGGGAGTTCAAGGTCATCCTCAGCTACATACCAAGTTTGAAGACAGCTTGTTGGCTATATGAGACCCCATTTCAAAATACCAAAATTAAAAAACATATAAAGAAAGGAGCCAGTTAATCTACACATGGTCATCCAAAAGTCAGCCCTAGGCAAACCACCAAGAAATCACATATACATACCTACCTGGAGAAGCCTTACCCAGATCAGCAGAGCAACCCTGATCATCCAACTCTGTCCAAACACAAACTGTCAATCTGTAGAACTGGAACTGGGAATTAAGGCATGGGTGATGTGCTGCACAGCCCAAGTTGAAGGAAGTCACAGGTTTCTAAGTTACTAAATCAAATGAAACACTTTCTGACCCTTACGTACTCCATGTGAGCAATATGTCATAGAGCTGATCAGAGCTTCCTTCTTGAGACACTACTTTCCTTACATCTCTAGTAACTTTTACTTTTTACTGATTTTTTTTCTCCTACTTTACTGGTCACACTTAGCCCCTTTACTTCCTTCCCTGCTACCCAGCTTCTTTTTGTATGGCAGCTTTCTCTGAGATTGGAACATTCTGAGATTGAAACATTCCATCTCCCAGGGAAGCTCCTCAATACAAAAGTAAACTATTCCAATTAGCTTCAGGAAGTCCCTGAAACTGCCCAGATTGACTAGGCCTCTCCCCGCTAGAGTGAACAATAAAGACCACTGAGAGTCACTCTCAGACAAGATAAGCTGCAAAGAAAAAAAGACTGAGACCCGAACAGCTGCCTGTAAAAAGCAGAAAACAGCCAAGCTACATGGAAGAGGTCTAGATCAACTGAGCCACCTGGAAAAGGATACCCTTCAACATAATGAGCTGCCTGAAGGCTGTGCAGCATGCTCCAGATTCCCAGTTTTTATGAGCTGTTACCCATGTTGAATGGGTTTTGATGATACAGCTGTCTTTGGGTCTTTTCTGTTCCTCTAAGTAACCCCTCGCCCTCAGTTCATTAAGTAGCCCCAATAAAACTCATTGGTGCCGGGCGGTGGTGGCGCACGCCTTTAATCCCAGCACTCGGGAGGCAGAGCCAGGCGGATCTCTGTGAGTTCGAGGCCAGCCTGGTCTCCAAAGCGAGTTCCAGGAAAGGCGCAAAGCTACACAGAGAAACCCTGTCTAGAAAAACCAAAAAAAAAAAAAAAAAAAAAAAAACTCATTGGTTCACCAATGTAGACTTTGGTGGTATCCATATTTGGTCTGTCATGAGTTCCCTATCTGGGATGAGTAGATGTGTATGTTGAGTCTCCCCAGAAGTCTGTCCTGCAACACTCTAAATATCAACAGTCTACCAGTGCTTAATTCATCTACTCTGCTCTTTTGACTGTACAAATTTCTCTCCCATGGTGACAAGCTTTGTTATTAAACCCTCGAAACAATGAAGAAAACAGATCAAGTTATCTTCTCTGACTACAGAGCCCATGCATACAATAGCCTCCTTAATTCTGACATTTGGATAGTCAATGACATGGAGAATTAAGAGACCTGAACTAATCAATAGTCTCCAAACTTTCTCCTTCCCCACAAAGTTCTCATTTTGTCTTCTCAGTGTTACCTTTGTGTATCTTACTTCTATCTCCCAGAAAACTAGAAATGATCCTTGGCAATTTCTTTTCAATATTGAAAGTTAATAATCAAGTCATATAAATGCTACCTACAAAGCAAACTAAACCCACCACCCTTACTTAGCCGTCACTTCATCACAAACTAGTCTGAGCTACCTCCGATTCATTATTCACATAGCAGCTAGAAGACCTTAGTATGCCAACATCTTCCTATCACTTCCTTATTGAAATTTTTACACAGTTCTGTTACCAGAATATGTTCCAAATATACCAGTCTGAATGCTTTGTCATTACACTCTAGTCACAAGTCGATCCCTTAAAGGTGCCAAACCAAGACCTTTCTCTCTGGGGATATGCTATCCTGCTGCATGGAGAAACTTCTCATTGGTCCTCATGCCTGGCTAGCACTGATTTTTCAAGTCTTTTAGGTTGCCTGGCTAACTCTGATTTTTTTAAGTCTCATAGGCCAATGAAGAAAGCTGCCCCAAATCTGAATCTAAAGTAAAACTCTACATGTTCTCCTACCACTCCTGTGTGACTCTTTCAAATCCCAAAAAAGTATTAATTCTCTAATGTCTGTTTCACAAGCCAAGAGCCTGAGAAGAGACTCAACCATACTTTTCCTGAGCAGGAAAAACCATCAAGAAACAGTCCTTGAAATTGTATATGCTAGTACATGCCTGTAATCCAAGCACTTGAGAGCTAGAAGTAGGAAGATGAGCAGTCAAAGGCCAGCCCCCACTTCAATTCATAGTGAATTCAAAGACAACCCAGGCTATCTGAGACTCTGTCTTGAAAAGAGAAAAAGAAATTACAATGGAGCATGGGGCACAGGGGTCGCACACAAACCCACAGGGTATTAAGCAACAGGGAAATCTAGCTATGGAAGCATGGTGGTTGGTGACTGTGCACTCTACTACAAAGAGCAAGCTCAAAGGCTCTGAACCCATGACCATCAATTTCTAGGCCTTAAGAGGTGCCTCCCTGTCATCTGTCGTTTGCTGCCAGGCAGAATAATAGTCTGGGCAGCTGCTGATTTTCCAGCTTGTTCCAATTAAGCAGCTATGGCTAGGGAAAGTCTGAAAGCACTAAGAGACCCACAGCAGGCAGAAAGCTTGGTTCCTTCGGTTCCATACACACATACCCCACACCACTCTAGTTGAGAGCTCAATGCTGTTTGCTTCCCCAATAAAGAGATACCCTTCAGTTTAGATATTTGCTGAAGGGGAGGGGGGAGTGTCTCTCAAACTAGTAGTACCCAGACAACAGGCTGTAAAGCTCACTGTAGCTGGTAACAGCTACCAGTACACACACAAAAAAAGGGAAATGTCTAAAGTGAATGCATCCCAGGCTCTTACTGATCTGGGTCCACAGTCATCATAAACAGCTTGTATAGAGAATGCAAATAACTACAGCAGAACTCAATGACAACCTACTGGCAATGGCTAACTTTACCCTCTTCAAGACTGGAGAGATGGCTCAGTGGTTAAGAACACTGGCTTCTCTTCCAGAGGACCTGGGTTCAATCCCCAGTATTCACATGGCAGCTCATAACTGTCTGTAACTCCAGTTCCAGGGGTTCCAATGCCCTCTTCTGGCCTCTGTGGGCACTGTATGCATGTGGTACACAGACATGCAGGCAAAACATTCATGCATGTGAAATTGGAAAAAAAAAAAAATGAAGACTATCTTACCCTCTTCAACTAGCAGGTTCCAGTATTATGGCTCCAAGAAGAACCTCCCCTAATTCTTTATCTTCTTTTTCTGTTTGTGTTTTGGTACTTTTTTTCCTTTTTACTGTTACTTTTTAGTACTATTTTTATCTTACTCTTTAAAATCTTAATGTTTTTATTTTTTCTCACAGCTTTACTTTTGTGTTGGCTGAATATGAAGTTATGATAAAAGAGAATGCAAAGTCTTGCAAATGCTAAGGAAAAATTCTTCAAAGAAAGAGCTTGAACTTAGAGGACCAAGTAGAATGTAATGAATCAAAACTAAGCATTCATTCAAAGAAAAGACTGTGAAGAAGGAAAATTTGTCGTAACACATAGATGGTAGGCAGGACAAACGAACAATAACTGACAATGAAATTTCCTTGAAATGAAGTTCAAGGAAAGGATGCTGTCTCTGATCAAGTAACCAGACTAATCAAGGAAGCTAGGCCTGCTGTGCTAGGGTAAATGGAAGAACAGCTAAGCTGAGATTCAACCTGCTCAACACAATCATGTATTTGCAGGAAATGGTTTGCTGTTTTCCAATGTCCACTCAGGAAGGATAGTAAAAGAGAAGCTAATATGAGCATCAGAAGCAACAATGGTGGCTCAATCAATGTTAGTATGCACTCACAGGTGGCAGATTCCTAAGATATATATTTAATATACTTTTGTTAAATTACAATTAAGAGAATCTAAATAGCCGGGCGGTGGTGGCTCATGTCTTTAATCCCAGCATTTGGGAGGCAGAGCCAGGCGGATCTCTGTGAGTTCGAGGCCAGCCTGGTCTACAAAGCTAGATCCAGAACAGGTACCAAAACTACACAGAGAAACCCTGTTTCAAAACAAAACAAAACAAAAAAAGATCATCTAGGAGTTGACATTAGTGGAGACTGGGACGGTGTTGCTCGAGAGTGAGCAGTTCCTGACGGAGCTGACCAGGCTCTTCCAGAAGTGCAGCGGGTTCATCACCCTGAAGAAGTATGATGGTCGCACCAAACCTACTCCACGGAAGAGTTCTGTGGAGGGCTCCGAGCCTACAGAAAACAAGTATCTGTTGAGAGCCACAGATGGGAAAAGGAAAATCAGCACTGTGGTGAGTTCCAAAGAAGTGAGTAAGTTTCAGATGGCCTATTCAAACCTACTGAGAGCTAATAGGGATGGGCTGAAGAAGAGGGACAAGAAGAACAAGAGTAAGAAGACCAAGTCAGCACAGTGACAGCCGTGGCCATTAGCAACAGCTGAAGGGCAGTTTCCTGTGCTTGCTGCTTTTGGTGCCCTCTGATGTAACTGTTTTCATGGAAGGGTCAGTCGTCAAGAGAGAAGGGTTGGCCGATCATAGGGTAGTTGTGGTAAGAAGCCTGTTTGTCTTAGATCTTCCCCGTATGGCTGCATATTCTTAGATTCCAGCCTTAAAGAGTCTAGTCATCTCTGAAGAGCTGTGCGTCATTAACTCCATCCACACTAGCTGTTTCTTTGCCTACCCTGTTTCTACAGTTGTTGTTTTTGTTTGTTGTTGTTGTTGTTTTTGCTTTGTCTTTGAGAATACTGTAATAGAAATCTGACAGTTTTATTAAAAGTCATGTTATCCTAAAAAAAAAGATAATCTAAATAGTTTTTGTCTCTTCTCTTCTCTATCTCTTTATATATATATTTACATATATGCTAATTGGTATGGAGGGCAAAAAAGAAATAATAATCCATGTCCATTTAGAACCTCAGACAGACATGACCAGAAATATGCCTTCCCATGTCATATTATACTGAAGAGCCAGGAGTGCAGAAAGGTACACAAGAAGCATGTCAAGTTACTTACAAAGGCAAACTTAACAGAGTATCAGCAGACCTGTCAATAGAAACTCTAAAGGTCAGGAAAGCATGGATTGATGAATTGCAAGTCAAGTCACAATATAACTACCAACCAAGATTTACAACATCTGACAAAGTTACCCCTTAGGCAAAAGGTAAAAGGAAGATCTTCCATAAAAGCATAAGAAAGAAAGGAAGAAAGAGAGGGAGGGAGGGAGGGAGGGAAGGAGGGAAGGAAGGAAGGAAGGAAGGAAGGAAGGAAGGAAGGAATTTATGCCCATTAAACTAGCATAGCAGAAGATACTCTAAGGAATGCCACACTTAGAAAAACAGATAAGATAAATAGAGTCATGATGCAGAGGTCCAAGAAAACACTGAAGGAAGACCCCAGATTCAAACAGTATACAAGAGCAAAGAGCGTTTATTTACCAGCATATGTGGGGTCATTCACCTGTACAAAATGGCAATGACCTGGGACAAAGGCGTGCAGGTCTTTTTAAGCACAGCTAGGGGGATTTCACGAAGAGTTCATTTAAAACATGACTAGTTAAACAAGCAGCAGTTACATTCATATATTTTTAATTGGCTGAAGTTTTAGTTTTTCTGTCTTTGGGCATACTGAAGCCAGTCCAGGCCTGTTTCAGAGGGTTACAGAACTGTCCTTTTTGGTCTGTCTTGTGATACTGTGGAAGCTGGCTCAGGCCCTCTATGTGCTTCCCTCCTGGTCTCTCTAATGTTGGGGGGCGTGTTGACAATGGCCCTTCATTGGAAAAAAACTTGTTTGCTCTTAAAAAAAATAAAACCTAGATCCGGCTGTAAAATGGGGAAAATTTAGACCTCTCAATGAAAGCCCAGGAAAGAAGTAACCTCTCTACAAGAATGAGAATTAGGAAAAGAATTAATTCCATTAACTTAGTAAACCAACAAGCCCCTAAGATGAAGAGGGGAAAAAAAATCTTTCAATAACAGCCATAAATGTAACCATTGTCTTAACTCTCTAAGACACAGGAAGGCAGAACAGACAAAAAAAAAAAAAAAAAAAAAAAAAAAACCAAAAAAAAAAAAGAAAGAGAGAGAGAAGAGAAAGAAAAGCCAGAAGCCAACTGTTTGTTGGCTACAAGAAACTCATTTCACTGACCAAGACACACATAGACTAAAAGTAACCACAAAGACGTTTAAGGAGATATCTAAAAAGGAATGAGAATAAACTATACAAAATTATAGGAATAATAATTAAAACCAACTGATACCCAGTGATTACAATTGCAAATTACCTACCACTCAACTATAACTAAAAGAGCTGAGTAAACAGTTGTTCTTAAGTATTTTTCAGAGATCTAATTCATTTTTTTTTCAGATTTTTGTCCAGAATTTCTTGTTTTGCATAGGGATCAAGCATTTGGTGTGCTACAGGAATTTAGCAGTGGCTTTGGCTTCTGCCCACTAGATACCAGTAGCACTTTCACATCACTACCACTCTGAGTTGTGAAAACCTAAAGTGTCCCCTCCTAAGCAAAATCACCCCAGATTGAGCACTAATGTTCTAGGTCAGCTCTTAAACAGATGCATAGCAATACAATGACTTCTAATGACACACCACTATACCAGTGCCTCGTTCAACCCATATCAGAAAAGCTTTGTCTTGCATTAGATGGCAACTAACAGAGAAACTCACAACTGGACAATGTGTAAAGAATGAGAGATTTGAGCATGCAGCCCTAAATCAGATGCCTCTATCAAATTCCTCCTCTCAAGGCTCAGGGATCTATGTGGAACAGGAGTGGAAAGATTGTAAGAGCCAGATGATGAACAGCCACCCCAAAAAAAGTTTATGTAGGAAACCCATCAATGGTCTATAGAAGGTCTATCTAGACATGTGAAAGAGTATATAAAGTTTGCATACATAGGAACAGTGTACTTTTTCAGAGATAATCCATAGCTTATATATATTCTCTAGAAAGTTCATGATCCCCAAATGAAAAGTTAAGGATCATGTTCAATTTGTTTTTATTTTTTTATATGTCATTATTATGTATGCAGTATGTACGTGTACACACACACACACACACACACACACACACACACACACACACACAAGTCAGAGGACAACTCTTTAGGAGTCTATTCTCTCCTTCCACCAACGGGTTCTAGGAATCCGCACGGTAAGCACTTTTTTGGTGTTTTGCTTGTTTGTTTGTTTGTTTGAGATCTCTGTGTAGTTTTGGTGCCTGTCCTGGATCTCACTCTGTAGACCAGGCTGGCCTCGAACTCACAGAGATCCACCTGGCTCTGCCTCCTGAGTGCTGGAATTAAAGGTGTGCGCCACCACTGCCTGGCCAGTAAGCACTTTTAACTGTGGCCCAGGAATGTGTTGTTTTGTGTGTTACTATTTAAAGTTATAAAGAGCAACACTGCTGTGGAATAATCCTCTTGTACACTGTAAGTATTTATTACTGTCATTGATTAATAAGCTGACAAGCCAGTAGCTGGGCAGGAAGTTAGGTGGGAAGGCCAAACTGAGAATGATGGGAAGGAGGGCAGAGTCAGGAGTTGCCAGCTAGATGCAGAGGAAGCAAGATGAGAATACAATACTGAGAAAAGGTACCAAGCTACGTGGCTAAGCATAGGTAAGAATTATGGATTAATTTAAGTGTAAGAGCTAGCTAGTGATAAGCCTGAGCTACTGGCTAAGCATTTGTAAGTAATTTTAAACCTCCAAGTCAATTATTTGGGAAGCGGCTGCTGGGTTATTTGGGAATCACTGGCAAGACAGAGAAAAGCCTCTGATTACACAATACCAATAAACTCCCTTTCTGAGCTACTTGCCTTCCAAATACTCACTTAGAATTGATTACACTTTTATCATTGCCTTACTTTATACTTCTTTTTTTCCCCCTCTTTTTGGAATACCACATATAGTCCTTGAATTTGCTGAAAGTTCTTTTGGGGAAAGCAACTTTTAATTATTTCCTCTGTGAATAAAATGGACAGCCAAGAGAAGGTCAATGACTCATCTAGCATACAAAAGCTCCTGAACAGCAGAATGAGAACTATACCCTATCTGCTGCTTATGTTGTGCATGACTAGAAACAAGAATAGTAGTTCCCAACTTCTGGCTTTATAGATTTCAAAATAAAATATAAAGCACTTTAAATAGATAACTAATAATCTAACAAGCTTCAAAGATCTTAAAATAAGTAAGACAGAAATATCAACTATAAGGTCAACATCATCTACAAGTTAAAAAATAAGAGTTTTTTCCTGACAACTGAGTTTTTACTGAACTCCTATGGGCATAAAACAAAAACCTGCACTATACTAGAATTAAGCATAGGAGTTCATTTTATTCACTCATTTTTATATCTTAATGCAAGCCAAAGTACAATTCAGACTATTCAAGTCATGCAGCAATGTGTAGCAACATAAGATACCCAAAGGCCAGTGATCACAAGGTATGGTTAATCTAGGGTATGTAACTCTGCAGAAGAAGGCTTCTTCAAACTCACTTCACTCATGAAGCTCATTTCTAACCAAAACCTGGTTAACAATGCCCAGTGCTTGTCTGAGTGAAGAGCAGTTCAATGAACACACTCCTTGTATGTCAAGAAGGTACTCAGTGAATATTCTGAAAACTATTCATCTGTCAGATATTCAAATGCAATTATAACCTTTCTTAAGGGGGGAGATAGTGTATAATAGTTAAAATTTTTTAATTTAAAAAATATTTTTATTGTAAAATGAGAAAAATCTGGCATCAACAAGGCTATAGCTTCATGAAATGTAGAATATTATTACTGTGGAATACAGTATACAACCATTACACAGGTGTATATCTGGCCAGTGAAATGACTTACAGGGTAAAGGCTCTTGGCGACAAGGTTGGTGACCTGATTTTCCTACACAGTAGGAGAACCTACTTTCCCCCAAGTTGTCCTCTGACCTCATGTGTCCCCACACACATAATACATATACACAAATAGAATAAATAACTGTAAGAAGAAACTTTTTTTAAAAAGAAGTTGTGCTGGCATAGCCAATATACTGTGATCTGCGCTTAAATGTATGTGTAATATATGAATAATATGAATACAAGACGGCATTTTCTATAAAGCAAGCACCACCAATACAAATCAAAACAACAAAATAAAACATGCTAGGGGTCAGTTAAGACGGCTCAGCAGGCAAAGGCACTTGCAATCAGGCCTGACAATAGGAGTTCGCTCCTTAGAACACACATAGTAGATGGAGAGAAATAACTCCCACAATTTGTCCTCTGACTTCCACAAGCATGTAGTATCTCACTATACAAATACATACACACAAAATAAATGAATGGGTTTTTTTTTTTTTTTTTTTTTTTTTTTGGTTTTTCGAGACAGGGTTTCTCTGTGTAGCTTTGCGCCTCTCCTGGAACTCACTTGGTAGCCCAGGCTGGCCTCGAACTCACAGAGATCCGCCTGGCTCTGCCTCCCGAGTGCTGGGATTAAAGGCGTGCGCCACCACCGCCCGGCATGAATGGGTTTTTAAAACTGTGTTAAGCACATTAATCCCAGCACTCTCAAGGCAGAGTAAATTCAAGGCCTATCTCTATGAATTCAAGGCCAGCCCAGTCTAAAGAGTTCCAGGTCAA